GGGTGACGGGGGGGGGGAGCCTCGCGCGTGCAGAGGATGGGATGGGAAATCTATCGACGCGTTGACTGCCGGTCGTGGATCGTGGACTTTAAAATCCTCCCTAGAATATTATGCGATGTAATATATTTTTTGAACCGGTGAGTAATTCTCAGTTTAGAAATTATGTTTGAAAATGTATTTGGGACACTTTATAGAAGGTGACACTGTTCCAAAAAGTGAGATGTGTTGACTTTGATCCTCCGAGGGTATCATAACCCCCTCCTGCTAATCTATTTATCACCTAAACTAATGATTTAAGTGTTGTCACGGTAAATCAAAGGAAAAAATGAGACACTTACTTCTTAAGGAAACAGGGAGAGTACATTTGTAACTGTCATTCTGTTATGAACGGTCAGAACTTCTCTACTCTACTCTGCCCCTGAGTTACGCTTATCCCTTACACATAAACCAATGCAATACCTTCTCATTTATCCTTTTCAAACAAAAAACAAAAAAAAAAAACGAAATTCCTTTCCGCGGCGATAGCACGAATCTTCCACTTTTTATCTCCTTCATTTTTTCAGGCACAATGGACTTAATTAACGCCGAAGAACATGTTGATGGAGGTCTGATAAATTGTAGTGGTATGTCACACGTAATTGTTACTGTTCAAGTAAGTGAATAATATTTCAATCTTTTTAGTTTCTTAATTTTTTTTTTAATTTATCATATGCCATGTGTACTTTCTGTTGTAGGCTTTCCTTCACTGTGCTCACTTCATGCGGTATCTGAAGCATCACAATGTCAATACCTGCACATCCAGCCAGTGCATACTGTGTGAATTCCTTAATGTTTATCACGAGTTATGTGAAAAAAAAATCTCAGACCCAGCATCTCTAGTTACGATGTGGCACAGTAAGTGAACAGAGTATTTTTGTACATGTATCTTTGAAAGTTCAAGGGATTCTTACTATTTATATTTGTGTTCTTTATTCAGATGCTTCATGTAACATGCCTCTTGAGCAAAGAAGCAGTCCACTTTTCGTCTTGGTTGTGTTTGTTAATTTGATTAGACTGAGCTATTCCTGTGGTCGTCCCTGTGAAAGTGTTGCAGATTACGAAGCAACACCTGTTGCCAAAATCTGGAAGTATGAGCAGGAGACTGAAGGTCAGTTCAGGTACTTTTTAATCATTTGAAAGTAAATTCTTACATTTAGGTCCTGTCGCATAATTCTTGTTCCTTTTCATGTGTTAGTGTCATGCTCATTCTGTGGTGGTGATGAACAGAAAAAATTTAAGTGTGTTCTGGAGCTAAAAGATCAGTCAATAAGAGACTTGCAAAGTTCTGTTGAAAGTGAGTTGTTCAATACCAAAGAAGAAGTGTGTCCACTGTGCAGTGAAAACGAAGCAACCATAAACTTGAGAGTGGTTGATATGCCAAAATGTTTGCTCGTTCATCTTGAAAAGTAAATAATTTGTTAGATATTGTTTGTTATCAGAAAAAGTACATTTATGCATTTCTTCTAATTTTGTAATTTTACAGGTGTACCTTACTATCTCCTTTACCATTTGAATTGGACATCAGGGGCACAAAGCTCTCACTGAAATGCATAATTGTTGAGCCAAAGGGCGTACGTACAGGGTGTTACATAATAACCAGATGCCATGATCATAGATTTAGGAGATTCAATGACACTCAAGTAAGACTTGTTGCAATGTTTATTTGTTGTCCTATGACTTAATCAGTCTTCAATGTAAAATGTTACTTAACATAAAGTATCAGAACTCATTACGATTGCATACTTTCAGATCACAGTGGCTTCTCCCACAAGGCTATCTATGGAGAATTTTTACACAAACTCTAATGTTACTTTAATGTATGAAAGTAAAGTAGATGAGCAATGGGGGAACCAAGTAAGTACAAGTACCTCACAGTACAAGTGAATATATACACATAAGTAAATCTAGAAACATCACAATTATTTCTATACTATCTTTTAACAGGTCTCAACAGATCACATAATGGCAGTCAAAGGAGACAATAAAATTCAGGTAATTGAATTAAAAATTGAAATTAGTCTGATTAATAAAATTAGGGAATTCTGACAGGGTCCAGATTAAGAGGGGTTCTTTTTGCTAAGTAATCAGGCATCAAATACTCCCAGTGGAATTTTGTTAGGCTCTCCTTCAGTTCATTCCATCGTTCTTGATTGAAGGGCACTGGAACAGTAATTGAATTGACCTCTGTCCACAGAAAAAGGTCACATTCATGCAGATCTAACAAACCCATTGAAAATTGGACTTGGT